AGTGCGATGAATGGGCTTCTGGCTGCGAGGGTTGCATTAAAGTTAATGGATGCTGCACAGCCAGATCATCCACGCTTTCACTGCAAATTTACCTCTCTGCTGGTTACTGTTGTTCGGTGAAACAGTTGGAGGTACCTTGGAAATAAGACATGGTGTCTAAAAGTGTTGCTGCCCCCCCCCCCGCATAACTTTCCTGTCTTAGAAAGCTACTAAGCCCTTTGTGGTTATATTTGCATGGCATTTAATTTCCTTAAATCACTGTGAGGAATTAATAAAAGTGAATTCCTTTAATCCCTTCAGAATATCCAATATTCTGTGATAGGTGTGAGGGCATTCAGGAGTTTTCTGTCCACATCACCCCTTCCTTCTAGCTCAGCCACTGGGTGACTGAATTGTGTCCCCTTTCAAGATAACGAGTCTTGTTGTTGCTTTCGCTGTATATGCAAAATCAGAACTTTCATTTTGTGTTGAGTACAGGGATTCATGAGTCCTGAAGGGCTGAGTCCTTCAACAAGCTTCTTTGTGAGCTAAGTAGCAGAGATGATGGAATCTTGAACACATGAAGCAGCCTTATACTGAACTGGACCCTTGGGCCATGAAAGGACAATATTGCATACTCAGGCTGGCAGCAGCTCTCCAGGGTCCCAGGCCACAGGTCTTCCACATCACCTACTGCCAGATCTTTTAACTGGAGATACTAGGGATTGAACCTGGGACCTTCTGCATGCCAAGCAGATGGCCTGCCATAACAACGTAAGAGAAGCCAATGTTGGATCAGGCCAATGGCCCATCCAGTCCAACACTCTGTCACACAGTGGCCAAAAATACCAGGGGCCATCAGGAGGTCCATCAGTGGGGCCAGGACACTAGAAGCCCTCCCACTGTTGCCCCCCCCAAAGCACCAAGAATACACACCATCCCTTGCCCCAGCCTGAGAGTCCCTATCTATACCTTGGGGCTAATAGCCACTGATGGACCTCTGCTCCATATGTTTCTCCAATTCCCTCTTGAAGCTGTCCATGCTTGTAGCCACCACCACCTCCTGTGGCAGTGAATTCCATGTGTTAATCACTCTTCCTTTTATCCATTGTAGCCCGACTGCTCAGCAATTTCATTGAGTGCCCACAAGTTCTAGTATTTTGAGAAAGGGAGAAAAGTACTTTTTTCTCAACCTGCTCTATCCCATGCATAATCTTATAGACCTCGATCATGTCACCCCTCAGCCGTCATTTGTCCAAGCTAAAGAGCCCCAATCACTTTAACCTTTCTTCATAGGGAAAGTATTCCAACCCTTTGATCATTCTAGTTGACCTTTTCTGCACTTTTTCCAGTGTTATAATATCCTTTTTGAGGTGTGGTGACCAGAACTGTACACAGTACTCCAAATGAGGTTGCACCATTGATTTATACAGGGGCATTATGATACTGGCTGATTTGTTTTCAATTCCCTTCCTAATAATCCCGAGCATAGCGGTGGCCTTTTTTATTGCAGTCACACACTGTCTCAATATTTTCAGTGAGTTATCTACGATGACTCCA